TTAACCTAAAATTGATGCATGCATTGTACACTTGAATGGGTCATGTTTGGCAGGTTCACCTCCATGGAATATGACATGAGTTTTTAAATGTAAATACCCCCAATGGCTGATTTTGCAGTTTTGGAGGAGTGACAGTTTGGGGGTGCTAAACATGCAGCTCAACTACAAGTCTAAACAAAGCCCGTAATAAAAGGTTTGAATTACAAACACACATATGACCACTCACCTAATATTGAGTAGGCCCCCCTTTTGCTCTCAAAACAGCCTAGAGATGTTGAGGCATGGACTCCATTAGACATCTGAAGGTATGCTGTGGTATCTGGCACCAAGCCATTAGTAGCAGATCCTTTAAGTCCTATAAGTTGTGAGGTGGGGCTTACTTCAAAGTAAGTCTGGATCAGACTTACTTTTCTAGCAAATCCCGCAGCTGCTTTTGTGGATTTAGATCTGGAGAATATGAAAGCCAAGTCAACACCTTGAACAATTTCCATTGCTTCATGGTCCAGTTCTTACATAGTTACATAGTTAGTCTGGCTGAAAAAAGAAAAAAAAAGTCCATCCAGTTAAAAAAAAAAACAAAGTTATAATCCTGTACCCACAAATGATCCAGAGGAAGGGAAAAAAACAAGCAAAGCATGATCCAATTTGCTCCTGCAGGGAAAACAATTCCTCCCTGATCCCCCGGGAAGCAATTGGATATTCCCTGGATCACATTTACCTATAAATGTTAGTATCCAGTTGTATTCTGTGCATCTAGGAAAGAATCCAGGCATTTTTAAAGCAATCCACTGAGCTGGCTAGAATCAACTCTTGAGGGAGTCTATTCCACATTTTCACAGCTCTCACTGTGAAGAAACTTTTCCGTGTTTGGAGATTAAATCTCTTTTCCTCCAGACATAAAGAGTGCCCCCTTGTCCTCTGGGATGACCTCAGGGTGAATAGCTCTACACAGAGTTCAATATAGGAAACACTGATGTATTTTTATACATGTTGAGAGAATAAATCCAGTTCCTCTAATCTTTCCTCATAGCTGAGCTCCTCCATGCCTCAGCTGGGGGGAATTGGGGGTGGTATGTGCTACTAGGGTGATTTGGCCATGCAGGGATTTGTGCAGGGAAGGGTAATTTGTAGGCGGTTTTGCTAGGAGGAGGAATTTGGGGGGGTGTACTAGACTAAAGGGGGGATGGGGGGATTTGTGCTAGGAGGGGGGATTTGAGGAGAGGATTTATGCTAGGAGTGGGATTTGGGGGAGAGGGTTTGTGCTAGAAATGGGGGGAATTTGTACTATGGGTTGATTTTAGGAGCAAATTTGTACTATGAGGGGGGATTTTGGAAGAGGATTTACCTAGGAGTGGGTATTTGGGGAGAGTATTTGTGCTAGGAGGGTGGGATGGGGGGGTTGTACTGGGGAGGGTATTGGGGAAAGAATTCATACTAGGAGTGGGGATTTTGGTGAGAGGGTTTGTACTAGGAGGGAGAATTTGGAAGGAAAGAGGATGTGTGCTAGGAGGGGTGATTTTTGGGGGCATGGAAGACTTGTTAGGGATTGGAGCTGGAAGGTTGGATTGGGGGGGCAAAGATTTGTGTTGGAAGGGGGAAGTTTGGATTGTGAATGGATGTTTTGGGTAGCATTTGGGCTTGCAGAAGGGGGGGTGCAGTTTTTCACCCTGAGTGACCTTGTCTCGTCACTGCCCACACTGCACACAAGGCACTCAACAGATCTCCTCCCCTCATAACACAGAGCTGAGATCAGATACCTCACAAAAAATCGATCTGCTCAATGTGTAGCTGGCTGCAGTTGCAGTTCTAGCCTGTAAAATTCCCTGATTGGATTGGCAGCTGCAGCAGCCAGCTACACGCTGTGTGTGAGGGAAGCTCTAACGAGCAGGGCTCTCTGATTCCTCTTGTACCAAATTGTATTGTAACTGTAATGTCTACCTTCATTTTGTAAAGTGTTGCGCAAAACTGTTGGCGCTATATAAATCCTGTATAATAATAATAATACTGATCTCAGCTACGTGCTGTGTGGGGAGGAGGAGATCTCTTAAGTGCCCTGCCAACAGTGACCCTGTCCTTAACTCTGCTGACCACTGTCTTCCGCCATGCTGACTCCTGTACTGTGCCCTGCTAACCCCTGTCCTCTGCACTGCTGACCCCATTCTTCTTTCCTGTTGACCCCTGTCCTCTGCCATGCTAACCCCTGTACACTGCCCTACAAAACTGTCGACCCCCCTGTACACTGCTCCACTGACTCTTATACACTGCCCTGCTGACCTTGCATCCTCTTCCCCACCTGACATTTTTACTGCACCCCCAAATCAGACAAGCTAGATCCGGCCCTGATCCAAGTGCATAACCTTACATTTATCAACATTAAACCTCATTTGCCACATAGTTGCCCAATTAAAAAGTACGTTTGAGGTCAGCTTGTAAGTTGTAAGCATCCTGTAAGGTCATAATTCCACTGCAAAGCTTTGTGTCAAAGTTCTGATGTGCATGTTCCCATTATAGGTGCTTTTGGCTGTGGACACAGGTCAGCATGGGTACCCTGACCCATTTTCACCTATGCAGCCCCACATGCAACAAAATGCACTGTACATTCTGACACCTTTCTGTAACTAGCAATAGCTTTTTCAGTAGTTTGAGCTACGTAGCTCTTCTATTGGATCGGACTATGATCCAAGTCTTTCCTTTCTTGAACCACTTTTGGTAGGTCCTGACCACTGCAGACCAGGAACATCCCACAAGAACTGCAGTTGGTCTAGCCATTACAATTTGGTCCTTGTCAAAGTCGCTCAAATCTTTTTGCTTGGCCATTTTTTCTGCCTTCAACACATCAACTTCAGGGACAACACGCTCACTGCTGCCTAATATATCCCACCCACTTTCACATTCCACTGTGACAAGATAATCAACGCTATTTGCTTTACCTGTCAGTGGTAATAATGTTATGGCTGATAGGTGTATATCATTTTTGTTGCATAACAGGAAAGATCTATTACACCTGTGCATGTAAATAAAATGCCTGATGTTCTTTCTCCTCTAGGTCCTTCTCCATCAGAGAGCTACAAAACCAAAGCAGTGGTTCCTCTGTTAGGCGATAAAAATAAAAGCTCATGGAGTGCGGTTTTGTTAACAAACAGCAATAATACCATTTCTGTGGCTATAAACAGCTCTTCAGATGCTGTGATTGGACATTACATTATGAGCATTACTGGAAACTCTGGCACACCACAGGCCATATGTGGATTGTATCTCCTCTTTAACCCTTGGGTTCAAGGTATAAAGCATGCACCACATTTTTAAAACACTTTATTGGTATGTCAATCAAGAGTTGGTGTTTATTTTTTTCTTAATTTCCAGAGGATGATGTATTTTTACCAGATGAAAGTGAGAGACAAGAATATGTTCTGAATGAAAAAGGAGTGATATTTGTGGGAAGTGAATATAGCATCTCACCTCTGACTTGGACCTATAATCAGGTACTTTGAGTATAATGTAAATATTCATTGCTTACACTGGTGTAAAACTTAAAAGTTAGCTGGTAACTGTACTATGTTAGTTTGACAGGAGCATGATTGAGATTTGTCTTACTATAATGGACAGAAGCGTTAACTACAAAAAAGATCCAGCTTTGGATGTCTCCCAAAGAAATGATCCTCTCCATGTATGCAGGGTAGTCCATGGAACGGTGAGTTTTTAACCTTCATTACATATCATTTGCACATAAACAGTGATGTAACTAAACAAGAAGCCAGGGGGTGACCAAGATTATAAGGTTATAACTCCTTCTAGGAGGCAGAGAAGAAGGTCCTTGTGAGAACAGAAGTGTCAGCATATCATTGGAGAACATTTACAAAGACTGTCTCAAAGTATATTTTTGTTAAATGCAGGAATTGCAGCTTTTAAAGAAATACAATCTATTCTTTTATTTAAACTTGGACCCATTTTCATCTTAGCACCTTGTGCATTAAAAGCATGTTTTTATTTCTGTCAGTGCTGGCCCTTGCTCCACCCTAGGCTAAAGCCCAATTTGTGGGCGCTCCTATGTGAGGAGTTACAGCCAACACAAAAGTCACTGTACCCTCTCTAAGATTTCCACTGTCAACAGACTACAGGCTGTGTGATAGATGTTCCGACATAGTGGATGTTTACAAGCACCCACATACATAGTTATTAAGGAGGAAAAGAGAAACAAAACTCTAACTGGGTCATCCCTGTGCTAACTCATCCTATCACAAAGCTTTGATTCAATGTATGTGCTGATTTACAGTTGATAACAGGACACTAGTATAGCAACTGGTTGAAGTAATATTGAAAAATAACTTTAAAAATATGTTAATGGTTTTTAATGAATGACCAAATGGGTCTTTATATATGTCTAAAGTTCTAGTAAGTGAAGAGAAAACTTTGTAATGAAAATACGGATAGCAATAAAGTCCACAAAGGGGTTCTAATCCTTCCCCACTCTATCCAAAACTAAAAAATCCAATATGTTAATGGATTTTTAATGAATGACCAAATGGGTCTTTATATATGTCTAAAGTTCTAGTATGTGAAGAGAAATCTTTGTAATGAAAATACAGATAGCAATAAAGTCCACAAAGGGGTTCTAATCCTTCCCCACTCTATCCAAAACTAAAAAAAAAAATGTGCCTGGACTTTTTCTACCTTAATTTTGAAAATTGAAGTTAGCTAGGAAATATATACAGTGGAAATACCCTTTAAGACTATGGTTTTTGAAATGGAATAATCTTTATGTTACTTTGCCTTACTGTTTAGCTAGTATCTAAGCACACCTTACCATTATCTATGGAAAACAAATTTCTCTTAATAACTTGAGAGTTTATCTAACCAACTTCTCTATGTGTTTCACATACTGTATCTGCAAGTTGAACAGTAAAGATGAAAGTGGCGTTCTTGTGGAAAACTGGAGCGGGTTCTATGACGATGGGATCTGTCCCACCAGCTGGAATGGAAGTTCTGTCATCTTAAAAGATTGGTATTATAAGGGTTTCAAGCCTGTGAAATATGGACAATGTTGGGTATATGGCGGATTACTCTGCACAGGTAAGAATTATTTAAATACATGTTTATTCTTAACTCTTACTTTAGAAATAATATAGTAGAGAATGTGTATAAATCATCCAATCAACTATCACAATATACTATAAATATTAATGTCCATGTACACAGATATCAGACATTTAGTCAAATGCAGACAAAAGATGGCATGCTTTCAAGTGTATTCAAGAAAAAAGGGATAGCTTTTAGAAGCATTCGTAAAGGGTTCTTAAAGTGAATCTGTGTTTTGCACATATATAAGCTTAGGTAGATAAACGCTGCCTTATTATATCCAGAACATAATCACAACATAAGTGAATCAATATACTGACATCATCAATAGTCCATAAAACGTGTGCAAATTGTGCAGTCTCTTAATCTGTGCCCGTGCTTATTGTGCCAGTTCACAAATTGTGCTCCCCGCCAGTGGTCCCATTCACTCACCAACTCCAATGGACTCTTAATACTATGTAAGAATCTATTGCACTTATTAAGAAGGTCCCGGTTCTGCTGATACTTGTAGTCTACCTCCGCACAGACACGCTCTTCATTTAACAGGATCACCCAACTCAGCGGTCACACAACGTAGATACACATGTATAGGAAGTAAAGGTAGGGGGTCATTTAGTGTAATTGCATTTATTAGTAAAAAAAACAAGCAATTAGTATTGCACTCACATTAGACAGAACGATTCTAAGCATAAAATACTGAACCGGAAGTGACGCACTAACGTGCACTCCACCGGCCATATATAACATCACCACGGCTCACACTTGCCGTGTTTTGCACATGTTGACATCTATATACAGCTTTAATTAGTACATAAATTGCAGCACACTTTCTTTATTCTAATAAATACAGTTTGTACTAAATTCTTTAATAGGCCTTGATATTGAGTCCCTGTACAGAGGCTAGACCATGTATTCCCAATCAGGGTTCTGTGGAACCCTAGTGTTCCTCCAAACATTGCTAGGGGTTTCTTGAGCTGTTGTTGGTTGACTCTATCTGATGGAGCCTATGTAATTCCAGGTCCAACACCATGACAACAATGATTTTGTAAGCTGTCTGTAAAGGTGATATTCTGATCACCATTGAAAGGAGGGCATTTTTTCCACTGACCACCAGCTAATTAATTTTAGCAGGGGTTCCCTCAGATCTAATAATTTTTTTCAGGGGCTCTGGGGTAAAAAGGTTGAGAACGGCTAGGCAGCTGTATGAATGGTACAATGTTGAGAAAGTCCTGTCCGTACCTTATGTCTTTATTTTTCACCTTGTTTTCCTTTATTAAAACTGTACTACCACTGGCCAGTTTTTACACTGCCGTATCATCAGTGGTCTCTTAATTCTTATAGAAATTGACAAGACAGTTTTGCATCAGTGCAAACTAGGACAGCCTTAGTGAGCCACTGGCCAACTTATATCGGCTGATCAAAGCAGGCCAATTACTGTTTGATGAAAACGTATGTGTCACTGCTACAACTTCTGGAAAAAGGCCTTATTTTTAACCGATGAATGAGATTAGGATGCTGTTTCTATGTATGGCAAGCTAATTTAAAAAGTAATATCAATTCTTAAACAAAATATGTGCTGACAAAGAATGCTGTCGCTGAAGCTGTCCATGACATTTATACTGTTCCATAACCCCACATACAGCTCTAAAGCAGGCCTTAAATTTCAAAGATTTGTGTTTTGTTTTGTTTTTTTTTTTTTATTATGTCACCCTTGAAGCTGCATGAAAGGCAGTACTCAGTTACCATTGCTTTTTTTTATTTCAAAGACGATGTGCTGAACCCCTGGCAAATTTAACCCAGCAGGTTCTCTGACCTCTGCTGTCTAGCATATTTAGACTTCATCAATCCGGAACATTACATACTCAAAATCTAATCTATCAACAGTCCTCGGGTTTTGTCTTACTGATGTGTTCTGCTGTAGACAGTGGTGTATTTAGGTTTCGTGCTGCCCTAGGCAACACAAAAATTGTCTCTCCCCCCATGGAGAGACCCTGACACCGACCAACACCCCCCTCCCCCATGAAGAGAGCTTGACATTGACCAACAACATCCCAGGCAAACCCAAGGGAGCCTTCTACTACCACCGCCCCCCATACACTGGCAACCCCCTTCCCACCCCGGCAAGAGAGAAGACACTCACCTTCACAGCTCATCCTCGGGAGCAAGAGTCAGGCTCTGCATACACCATCGAGCAGCCCGCAGCCTCTTTCAGATCCCACCTGGTCCCCATGCTGTGTGTGTCCCTTCTTCCATCCCTTCTTTTGGGGGGTGGTGCTGCCCCCCTGAAAAATGCTGCTGCCCCCCTGAAAAATGCCACCCTAGGCAAATGCCTTGTTTGCCTTGTGGTAAATACACCCCTGGCTGTAGACCTTATTTACACACTGTTGCCGTCTTTATAAAGGGCTGCCATGTGCAGTGCCCTAAATAGCATAAATATCCTTAAGTCCTCTGTCCAAAAAGCTGACTCCAAGAAAACCTCTGTTTAGTGCATGGTGATGTCTAGTCAAAGGAGAAGACCTCCCTGTTATTACAACGTAGTTGGCCTTATGGCTGTACCTTGCCTACTGGGTCATTTATAAATATTCTGCATGTTCCTGTATGAAATTCTCATAACACTAGAAGTCATCAGCATCAGTTTTGTCTGTTTGTGAAGGTTTCCATTTATTCAGGCTATGCTATAACAAGTAGCAGTTTGTCACATTCTTTGGGACTTGTTATTTATTGCTAAATGCATTTGACTGCTCATTCAAGTGGCTTACTCAGTTCCAATGAGTGTAAGGAACATACATCAGTATTCATAGTCACAAGGGTCGCTCAATGTTCTTAAGCCAATTACCGTGGGATGTGTCAAGGCAGACATTCATTTCCAAGAGCATGATGAGTGTTATAAAAGTATGTGAAACCACCCTGTCCTAAATATATGATACAATCATTTTGGTGCCATGAAGCTAAGACTTGAACTAATTGTTACAGTTGACTAAAGGCATGAATTGTAAAATTGCCAGTGTGATGTTTGAAAGAGCATTATATGTAGGTGATAGATGATGTTGAAGGCCCACACCCTTGTTTAAGGATGGCTGTTCCAGTTTGGTGTAGATGGCCTCTTTCATGCTTCTTGTAGATCAGATGCCCTCTGTCCAGATGACCAGATGTCCTCTGTTGATAACTGGATTAAGACGACTGAGTTACCAGTGCAGCTATCTACTGTATGTCAGGGTATGTTCCCAACGCTAATTACAATTGAAGAAGGCACTTAGATGAGTGGTGAAAGGTCTTCAGCATTACATAACAAGTTAAAACTAAGCAAAATACTACCGCTAGCTCTCAGTTTTTTACATTTGTATCAAGGGAACCATAATTGTTTTTTGCACGTGCTTTTTCATACCAGTTGTTTTTATGTTTTCAGTACTCAGATGCTTAGGCATTCCAACAAGGGTCATCACCAACTTCAACTCTGCCCATGACAAGAATTCAAACCTGTTTCTAGATTTGTGTTATGACAGCCATGCAACTAGCAACGAGTCTCAGCAGGATATGATATGGTAAGCACAAGGAAATATGAAACAGAAAATAGATGAATCAGTAATGGCTAGTAAAAAATGTTTCACTATAGATGAAATAACTTTCATAATTTGCATTTGCCTAAAGGGCCATTCGTACCATATAGCACTCTGGTACTACATGCATTGCAAGTGCTTTATTATGCATTGAAATGTGCTGTACAACAGCCCATACTGCGTACTGATACTGATACTGGGTTCAAACGCAGAAAAAAAATGCTTCTTCAGAATTTTTGTTTATTGCCACAAATTGAAATCCACATAGTACCTTGTGCTTCTCTACAGTGAAATGTAGCACAGCCAACTTGCAGGGCAGGCTTTGAACACTGCTACTAATGGGAGGTAGCGGTGTAATGTTGTCAGCCTGCCTAAGGAGGTGCTGTTACTGCCAGGATCTGAATATTCGAAAATTTTAAACGGATTCACAAAAAAGTATTTTCTTAGGAAATCTGTGTACAGAGAGACATGATGCTGTACATACTGAAAATTGATTTAGGGTTTACATACACTTTAGGTTCGGCATTACATAATGTTCTTATACACATGATTTTGCAGGAATTTCCATGTCTGGAATGAGTCCTGGTTCGCCCGTAATGATCTAGACCCGGCATATAATGGTTGGCAGGTTATGGATGCAACACCACTGGAGTTAAGTGAAGGTATAAAATAAGTGACAATGTTTCTACAAACAAACATTTTCATCTTTTTTTTTTTTCATATTCGTTATTTTGCAAAGAGAAAGGCAGCCAGCATTCCGCAGGCAGTAAATATACATTGTAAAGGGGCAAGACAAGATCAGGTAGCATGTACTGTGTAAAGGGCATACAACATAAGTTACATACAAGTCAATGTTTGGTTCTCAATGTGGGTACAGCGAAAGGTACTCCACCAGATAGCCATCTGTTAAAGACCAGATATGCCCCATGGTATAAGAAGCACTAATAACTCGTAATAAGTTGTAATACCCAAGATAGTTAGACAGCTACAACTAGACGGTAAAGCCTGGAGGATGCCTGGCATACCAAAACTATTTTTTTATTTAGTACAGGGGAACAGATAGTGGGATGAGGAAAAGGGTAAGGTAAGGCAGTAGGGTAGATCGCAGCTGGGAGGGCAGGAGAAGAAAGAAAAAGAAATAGAAAAAGGGGGGGGGGGCTGGCAATAAGGGGATAATAGCTGGGTAGCTAGGTATGCTTCAAGGAAGTATTACGAATTTGGATCTAAGAGGGCTGTGCCTTCATCAGAATAAAGAACATATTCCATTTGATCAATGTGGTAGAGTAGAGCTCATGTTGTTTACAGGCAGATAGAACTAGATCTTCCATGTCATTTAGTTCTACATTCGTCAGCCATTGGGTGACGGAAGAAGGTTGTGGATCTCTCCAGCGTGCTGAGATACAAAATTTGGCGGCAGTAGTTTTCATCTTTTACAGTTTCACTGCCTATTATTTGTAGTTATATGGAAAATGTACTGTGAGAAGAGCCAATAAATTTAATTTATAACACATTAACAGGAACATTTACCAACTCAAACAAGAAATTCAGCTAGAAGTAAAATGCCAGAAGTATATAGTTATTTAATATTTAAAGAAGATGTAAACAATGACTGGATGACATTAAGGTTGCTAAAGCACTGCGTATCAAATTGTATTTAACCGCTTCCTGACCGCCCTATAGCAGAACTACTGCTACAGGGCGGCAGGACTGCGCAAAATGACGTATGTATATATATACTGTATATATATATATATATATATATATATATATATACGTGATTAGGTATTTTCGGATAGAAGGCGCGCACACCACCCTACCCGTGCTGCCATTGGTGGCTACAGCTGTCGATCACCGGGCTGGAGATTGCCTGCCGACACCTGATGATCACCAAGTATCACTGACAGGGGGAGAGGTCTGTATGTAAACAACACAGATCTCTCCCCTGTCAGCACCAGAAAGTGGCTTTGTATTGCTCTGCATAGCAGAGCAATACAAAGCAGCATGCTTACATAGTAAAGCACACACAGACAACATAGTAAACAGCACACAGTTAACCCTTTGATCGCCCCAGATGTTAACCCTTCCTGCCCAGTGTCATTAGTACAGTGCCAGTGCTTTTTATTAGCACTGATCACTGTATTAGTGTCACTGGGGATGTCAGTGGCAGTTAGTCAGTTCAGTGTCAGAATGCCCACCGCAGTCCCGCTATAAGTCGCTGATCGCCACCATTACTAGTATAAAAAAAAAAACATTCCAGTATATATACAGCCATTTGTAGATGCTATAACTTTCACGTAAAACAATTAATTTACATGTATTCAGATATTTTTTAGCAAAGACAAGTAGCAGAATACATTTTGGCCTAAATTTATGACAAAATTTGATTTTAAATTTTTTTTACTGGATATGTTTTATAGCAAGAGATCAAAAATACAGGTTTTTTTTTTTCAAATTGTTGGTCTTTTTTTGTTTATAGCACAAAAAATACAGAGGCGATCAAATACCACCGAAAGGAAGCTCCCTTTATGGGAAAAAAAGGACATAAATTTCATGTGGGTGGAGCATTGCATGACTGCGCAATTGTCACTTAAAATAACACAGCGCCATATCGCAAAAAATGGTTTGATCAGGAAGAGGGGTAAATCCTCTTGAGGGCAAGTGGTTAAATAATATATTTGTTTTGTTTTTCTTTTTACCTTTGTTGCACATCAATGCTGCTGATCATCATTGGTTTTTAGTATGCCAGCAGCTGGACCACATGGTGCCCAAGGTTTTAATGCGGCACAGTAAAAACCAGTGGCTTTGTTTAGCCAGCAGGCAGGCTCGATCCACTCACTGACTTGTTAACATTTGTAGGGCAATTTGGGGAAATTTTTAGTCATTTTTCCAAGGCTCCCCTGGAGAACCTAGAAGGCACCCCAGTGTGCCATGGCTGCCTGGTTGAAAAAGCTTGGTTCAAAGCACCCACAGACACATGGATGAATGCTCCGAAGACACACACTATCAGCATTAGTGCATACTTTTGAGAGTACTTTTTTCCAATCCCTAGCATATCCACTGGTCTAGGGAGAGTGATTATGCAGACTCTGTATGCTGTATGGCTGTGTCCATAAAGACTGAATATTGGCTTACCTATATCAGTTCAGCCCTGTGCCTGTCTTCAGAGGCACTGGTCTCTGTTCCTCTGCTCATGGGACACAGAGGCAGCAGCGGGAGTCATTGGATTCCTTCTACTGTTAATCAAATCCTGTGAGGAGGAAGCAGGGGGTGGGACTAAGCCATGCTGTGTGTTTCTATGGACACATACAGTCCATCAAGTGGCGTGCTATGTGGGCTCACACAGAAGAGGAGGAGCCGAGAATTCTGGTGGGGGAACCCAGAAGAGAAGGTTCGGGGCTGCTCTGTGCAAGTAACTATAACACATTTATTATTTTAATTTAAAAAAAACATCCTTTACAACCCCTTTAAGAATCTGTTTCGGGGAAGGGGACAGTAAAAGTGAAATTGTCAGTTTGGCCTGTGCTGGCAGATTCACTTTAAAAACTCTAATACATTTGGCACTTTTGTGGTAGACTTTTTAAGTATAAAGCTTTCAAATAGTGTGGCAAACTTTTAAATGCTTTTTTTACTGTAGGACTATATCGCTGCGGCCCTGCACCACTGGTAGCCATTCGGGAAGGAGATGTTGACCTCAAGTATGATGTTGGCTTTATGTTTGCTTCGGTTAATGCTGACCTAACACAATGGATAATATTTAGCGATGGCACTAAGAAGAGAGTCTCTAATGACACCAAATACATTGGAAAATATATCAGCACAAAGGCCCTGGGGACTGATGACCGTATGGATGTCACAAACATGTACAAGTACCCAGAAGGTAGGAGAAGCCTGACAGGTCCCAGTCCTTATGATACAGATAAAATCATATCTAACCTCGAAAAACAAAAAATGTTATATGTTGCAGCTTAGCGGGGACTGCCAGTCACTGCTCTTTGATCCAAGAAGGCCATAAACTGAGTGATTAATGGTCATATGATCACTCAGTTCTCAGTCTTACAGCAGATGTGGGACCTCTGCAGAGGTGAGTATGAAGATTTGTTTATGTACCCCAAACCTCTCCTATAAAGTCTTTGTTCTGATGTTTGAGAATCCTTAAAGGAGACCCCAGCCCATTTTAATTAACTCCAGCCCACACCAGAAAGCCAGCTTTTTCCTAGTGCTCTGCACCAGCCCACAGATGACGCTCACATCATCCTCACTAGATCTCAGAAAATGATGAGATCTCACACATTAATGAGCTTCCTGGAAAGTATTGGTGATGTAGCCTTTCCAGAAAGCAGCTGTGTGGCCAAGAGAGACTTGCCTGTAGAGAATAGGAAGTAAGATACAATTAATTGTGAATGCAGGTGATTTGGGAGCAGCATACAAAGGTGTATTTTTGAGGAAGGAGGGGGTAATCTGTTTTAGTACGAGGGGCCTTCTAGGCAAACAGGGACCAGGGGCGGACTGACCATTTGGAAACTCGGGCACTGCCAAGGGCCCGGGGTCAGTAGGGTGTCCCATGAGATGCCCCTGGTACTTTTTTCATAGGTTTTTTTGAGTTTGGGCAAGGACACAGGGGCCCCATGATCCCCTATTGCCCGGGGGGCCCCATGAGTTGTCAGTCTGCCCCTGACAGAGACTTTTAATTTTACAGGTATAAAAAGGGATGCTAGCATAGTGGTACTACACGCAGTGGTAAGTGGCAAGTGTATCCTATTACTGATGTTGTGGACCAGTCCAGAGACCGTTAATCAAGATGGCAGACAACAGTGTTAGTGTGTGCACAGGACAGCGTATGGTGATAAAGTTTCTTGTGAAGGAAGGTGTAAAGCCTGCAGATATCTACAGAAGTTTTCAAGCACAGTACAGTGAAGAGACGCTCAGCTGCAGTAAGATATTTGAATGGTGTCAACGTTTCAAAGATGGCCGTACTGTATGTCCGTCAGTGACGATCTCAGATATTGTGGTTCCCAGCGTAGAATGCCTGGCCCTGGATAATCAGCACAAAACCTGTCATGAAATTGCAGAGACGAATATTTTTTGTGGCAACGGTGACCACAGTCATGACGGAGTAAAGCAGACTGTTAGGCATACTGACAAATCTTTCTATGCCAAAGCTTTCCAGGCATTAGTTAAACACTGGGATAAGTGTATAAAGGTAGCAGAGGAGCATGTAAAAAAATAAATGCAGTTCCCACTCCTTGAAATTTATTCTTCTATTATATAAACACAAATGTTCCGGTTTGACTTAAATACCCTTCGTAATTTCTTCACAGTACATGCAATAATTTAAGCTTTTATTTTCTGTTAACAAAATGTGTAAGTAAAATCATAGCTGGAGATTGGCTGTCTGATTCCCTTCCCCTGGCAGCAGTAAAATCCAAAATTCATTGGATGCTCATTATTGACAAACTGACTTCTAAACTTACTGACACTATGCGTACCTTTTTACAAAACCTGAGACCCATGGATTTCGAATTACATGCCATCTGATTTTGATCGCTGTCTATTAGATCTATGAGGAATGAACCCATCTAATTGTCAAAAAGACAAAACTCTAGTGACCTATGTGATGCTCCCCCTTGTACCTCCATTCCTTTCCTCTCTGTTTCCCTTCCTCTTCTTTCCTCTCTGTTTCCCTTCCTCTTCTTTCCTCTCTACTGTTACAATTCTCTTTTAAGAATTACTTTCGATACGTATCAAGAGTCTTGTAATAAAGAAATGCTTTCTTATTGGCACTCTGTGCCTCCCAAGATTCTTGGACACTGAATACTTTGTGATGTTGGCAGTGCCTGCGCTATCACCTGGCACACTAGGCAGCCACCTAGGGCGCACTGCCACCTAGGGCACAGCAAACCCTTGCCTCACCTCTTCCTTCTCTTCCTGCTCCCATCACCCCCCAGGCTCCCGGTGTCCATCTCGGAGTCCTGGAGGGAGCAGGGCCGGCATAGGACTGTTAGCTACAAAATTTCCTTCAGATCCCAGTTCATCGCTCCGGCTGCAGAGAGGGAGGGCACGCTGGTGTCCTGATTGTTGCTGCTCAGGGCCCTGTAGGTATCCAGAGCACACAGGGACCTGAACAGTAGGGAAATCCAGTTGTGAGCAAGCCAGGGAGGGGGATCAGGGCAGGGAAAACAATCACAGGAACGATGTCCTGTGTCTCGTTCCTATGATTTCTCCCCCCCTGCTGCACCCAGAATTGCCACATTTTTCAGCCTGGACTGAGTCTCTGTGGTGGAGGCTCCCCAGATGTCCCACTACCCCACACTCCCTGGTGACCAGGAGCTGGGGAAACCTGTCTGGGAATCACCCAGACAATCCAGGTTTTGAATCACGTGTCCAGATTTCAGGCCACCTGAAACCTGGAAATATTATTCAGACCAGAACAGAGCTGTTGCTTCAGGAAGCCGGTGAGGCTTCCCTGTCATACCTGAACAGGAGTGGTGGCTGGGTGGCATTTACTAGGATATTTAATCTGTATTTTCCTCTTGCAGCAGCTGAATGTCATCTTCTCTTCCTCTCCCTCCCCGCCAGCACTCAGCTGTTGCAGGAGGAAAATACAGGTGAGCAGTTCTAGTAAGTGCCACCCCTCCTGTCCAGCTTCCTCTTTCTTCTGCTGCCCCCAGCCCCTGTGTGCTCCCCTAGTCCACTCCCTTTCCCCCCTCTTTTCCCAGCCATTAGACCAGGTGTCTCCAGCTGCAGGGAGCTCAGTGACTACTAGGTGGCAGAGGTATACTGGATAGCACACAGACCATTTTATTTTTTATATTTTTTTTTTGGGGGGGGGGGGGGGTTGTTGGCCTGTGTTCCACGATACTACCTCTGATATTTTCTGATGTCTTTGTATTCCTTGACTAATGCACCATAGATAGGCTTGTCCACTCCGACTTCCACCTTTACTTAACCATACCACTCCACACCCCCTTAACCGACTAAACTTTACAAAAAACATGACACCCTTTTTGGAATAAATGGCCAACATGGCCTTTTATTAACAACTTCACATTTTAACATACATCAACCGTTCCTTAACAGAAACCAAAGAATTGTTGTTGGTCTTCAAAGGCACCCACAAACGATCCAAAATGCACCTGCGGACAACCCTATACACCAGGCCTCCAGCCGCAACCAACCAGCTCGGAGACAACCATACCGTCCGCAGTGCAGCACCACCACCTTCCAGTTAAACCTTGGTTAACTGGGAATATCCACCGGGCCCCCCATACCACGGATGGGGTCCCACACCATTGTTTTATCTTCCAAGATGAGAACCGCCTCCAAAGACCAACAACCGCCCACGAACCAACGGGAAAAAACCCCCCTTTCCAACCCGGTTGCCATTTTTTTTTTTTTTTTTTTTTTTCGTTATTCTCACCTGCCTCCGGACGAGACCCTATACCCAACCAAACAGGGAGGGCGGGAGGGAAGCTCTGTTCCTTGCTACGTCCAGCTCCACTGACGCCCCTTCCGCAGAACCCCCCACCCTAAGGTACCACAAACCCCACCTACACTCCACATCTGGCCAATGCTATAATTCCCCAATCAATCCCCACCCCCTGGAGCTAAATTTAACCCTTTCCGTTCCCTACACCACTCTGGGCCTAGTCATGTATGCCCTGCGCTATTTCCATTCTTCCCTATTCGCTACGGGCATTTCTTGACTAATGCACCATAGATAGGCTTGTCCACTCCGACTTCCACCTTTACTTAACCATACCACTCCACACCCCCTTAACCGACTAAACTTTACAAAAAACATGACACCCTTTTTGGAGTAAATGGCCAACATGGCCTTTTATTAACAACTTCACATTTTAACATACATCAACCGTTCCTTAACAGAAACCAAAGAATTGTTGTTGGTCTTCAAAGGCACCCACAAACAATCCAAAATGCACCTGCGGACAACCCTATACACCAGGCCTCCAGCCGCAACCAACCAGCTCGGAGACAACCATACCGTCCGCAGTGCAGCACCACCACCTTCCAGTTAAACCTTGGTTAACTGGGAATATCCACCGGGCCCCCCATACCACGGATGGGGTCCCACACCATTGTTTTACCTTCCAAGATGAGAACCGCCTCCAAAGACCAACAACCGCCACAGCACGCTGGGTAAGCCCTTACCCATGCGTGCCACGCCACAAACGAACCGCCCGTAGTATGCCGTCCTGCAGCTCCAGGGCCCACAAATCCGTGCCCACCGCATTCAAATGCACTCCATCACCGCGAAGATACCGCCAAGTATCCACCTCCAACTCCACATGCCGGACCACTAACCCTCCATTGCGACTAAAAAAGCGCCCCACCTCCCGGTTGACCTTAATCCTGGCCTTGTTGAGCCGCTCCACCGACCGCGCCAAGCGCCAAGAAGTGCGGGCGACCATGTCAGACCACACCACCACCCATCCCCGGAAACTCCCGCCGCAACTGAAGAAAATCCAGCTTGACATCGCGAACCAGCTCCCGCATGGACCTACCCCCCAAATCGTTACCACCCGCGTGAATCACCAACACATCCGGTGGCCTATCCAGCCGCGCAAAACGCCGCACCTCGGGCACGACACGACTCCACAACATGCCCGGCACGCCTAACCAGCGGACACAAACCTCCCTTCTATCGAACCCCAGCTGCCTGCCATTGGGCCGAACATCAGCCCGCCTGGCCCCCCAAAACACATACGAGTGACCCAGGATCCACACCAGGCACACCTCTCCACCTGAAAGAAAAAAGAAACAATACCGCCAGAACAATACAGCACAGGTACAGAACCGCAACTACCACCCACAACCCAAACAAACCAAAACATAGGACCGCCCACTAAGCCCGCAACAAATGCGGCCGAACGTACAGGCGAAATCTCTGGGAATCCCACCTACCAATGCGCTTCACCACATCATCCGACAGTCCCCACCTGGCCGCCTCCGTAGCAGCCCCGATCCGAAACGAGTGCGCGAAGCATACAAAGACGCATCCAAACCAGCAGCCGTCAAACACCGGCGAAAAACAGCCACAAATTGAAAACGCGTCAAAGGGGACCCATCAATGTGCCGGAAAAAGGACCCCCGCCCCCCCCAGGGCGACAGGACAAAAATTCCCGAACCGCCCGAACCGGGCACACCAGTGAACCCGGAAGAGCGAAAAAACGCACCTTCGCACCCCTGCCCAATTGATCCGTCTTAGACCGACGGACAAGCACCTCCACCCAATCACCGGAGCACACAACCTCCTCCACCAACAACCCCCCAAGAACCGACTTGGACGGATTAACGAGCTCCCCAATCCGCAACGCCCCAAAAAAGGCCACCGCAAAGGCAGCCCGAAATAAAACCACCTCAAAATCCGAAGAACACACAGTCCGCAAATGCTCAAACAAAGACCCCAACAACTCGAACGACACCGGATGACGCGAATCCCTACAACGATGAGCCCTCCGATAACCCCGCAGAGCCATGCGAAACCCAAAAATCCTTAGTGAAATCCCGACACCCTTGCAACTTAAAGAAAAATGCCAATCCCGCCAGTCGGCGATCCACCGCGGACGCCGACACCCCCCGCTCCAAACTCCGCGCCAAGAAGTACAACACTGCCACACGCACCTCCGGCCCCCAGGGATCAATAGCGGCCAAGCGCAACAGATCCAACCACTCCCGCCAGACCGCAGAGTAAGCAGACCAAGTCGCCTCACTCACCGACCGCCGGATCCAGCCCGCAACGACTCCAAGGCAATCTCCCACAGCCAGTCGGGACAAGGAACCCCGTGTTGCTCCGCCGCCGGCGCCAACTCTCGGAATTTGTCCCACTGAAAACGAGACAAAGCGTCAGCTAAGGTGTTGTCAACCCCAGGGAGATGTACCGCATGGAGAAAAACATTCAGCTGCAAGCAACGCAACACCAAGTGGCGAAGCAGGGCCACCACCGGTCGGGAAGAAGCCGAGACCCTATTGATGACCTGAACCACCCCCAAATTGTCACAGTGAAAACGCACCTTCTGATTCCGAAAATTTTCCCCCCAAACCTCAAACGCCAACACCACTGGAAAAAGCTCCAACAGTGCCAAGTTACTGAGAAAACCCGCCTCCCGCCAGGAAGCCGGCCACGAGGCCGCACTCCACCGACCCTGGAAAAAGGCCCCATATCCCGCAGAAGCCGCCGCGTCCGTGAACAGTTCCAAATCAAAATTACTAACCGGGCCAGACATCCAAAGTGCCCGCCCGTTGAAAGAATCCAAAAAGGTGTGCCACAACTGCAAATCCTCCCGATGCGCCCGAGTCAGCCGAATGAAATGAAAAGGGGAGGCAATGCCCGCCGTCGCCGCCGCCAACCGGCGGCAGAACACACCCGACCCATCGGCAGGATCCGACAAGCGAAATTAAGTTTTCCCAACAAGGACTGCAAGGGCCGCAGCTGAATTTTTCGCTTCCCCTGAACCGCGCGAATTTCACCCTGGAGGGCCAACAGCTTCTCCGCAGGCAGCCGGCACTCCATTGCGCCAGAATCCAAAACGATGCCTAAGAAAGTCATCACCGAAGCCGGATCCCCGAAACGTTCAGCAACGCGCTGCAACGTAGCAAGCAAGACCGCGCACACCCCGGAAGCCGGCGGACCCACGCAGAGAAAATCATCCAAATAATGGATGCCCGAATTCACCCCCGAAACATCCCGAACCACCCACTCCACGAACGAACTGAACTTTTCAAACAACGCACAAGAGATAGAACACCCCATGGGCAAACACCTATCAACATAAAACGCGCCCTGCCACCGGCAACCCAAAAAACGAAAAACTATCCGGATGAACCGGCAACAGCCGGAACGCCGACTCAATGTCGGACTTCGCCATGAGCGCACCGCGCCCATACCGACGAACCCAGAACACTGCCGCATCAAAGGACGTGTAAGACACCGAACACGACTGCGGATCTATAGCGTCATTCACCGACCCCCCCTTAGGGAAGGACAGGTGGTGAATTAACCGAAACGCATTCGGCTCTTTCTTAGGCACCACCCCCAAGGGAGAAACTACCAGATCCGCAAACGGAGCACAAGCAAACGGACCACCCATACGACCTAACCCCACTTCCTTCCGCAACTTAGCCGAAACCACCTCAGCATGCTGCAAGGCGGAACGCAAATTCCGAGCTAATGGGGGGACCAAAGTCAAAGTACAGGGAATGCGAAAACCCTCCGAAAAACCTGCCGCCAGCAGGACCGCCGCAGCCCGATCAGGATACCTATTTAAGAAAGGCCCCATCCTTTCCACTCGCACCGGCGTCGTCCCTCTTACCCGCAGGCTCTCCGGGAGGGCCTCTACCCCGCCTGAAGCAGCGCGAGAAAGGGTGGGATCCACCGCACCCGGAACACTCGTGCCTAAACCGGCAGGACCCGCCAAACCGACAAGTGCCCTCCTGGAACTGCCAGCAAAAACCCCTACGCTTGGCGGCCGATTGTCCCGGGGAAAACAAACCACCGGCCCCGCCCTGAAAAAACGGGCCAGGGGGCCTTGGCGGCGCCATGAGCCGCATCCAGAGGCCAATGTCCTTATGGTCCCAACGCAACGACGGCGAACTGCTCGCCGCTGCCTAAACTGCTCATCATACCGAAGCCACGCAGACCCGGTATGCAAAAGTACGGGGGATAAGCCGAAAACGCCGCCGCTCCGCATCCTCCCGTCTACCGTCATCAACCCGGGACCCATAGAACGGAAAACGCTCCAAAGGCAAGAGCGTGAATATGTCCACATACTCCCCGTTCCAAATTCGTTCCCGTACGTCCGACTGCAAATGCGCACCCAAGGGGCCCTCAAAACACACATACACTTCCCCCTTCGCAGAGTCCGCCACGCCGACAGGCCCGGACACCCCCGAACCGTCCCCCAAAACCGCAGAATGAACCGCAGAGCCCATAACCCCAGACTCCGCGGTAACCACCCCCGTCCCAGAACTAAGCGGAGAAGAGACCCCCAGGCCCTGCACCACCCCGCTGTCCCGTCCAGGAACCGCGAGCCCGTCCCCACCGGCCGGCGGGAGCCACGCAGAAGCAGGCCCAGGGGTCCCAACACCGCCCCACTCCAGCCTCCGCAGCAAGTCCCGCAAACCAGAAATCACCTCCCCAAGACCCCCACCTAAACCTGACAGGGGAACGCCGCCAACGAAGCTCTGTTCCTTGCTACGTCCAGCTCCACTGACGCCCCTTCCGCAGAACCCCCCACCCTAAGGTACCACAAACCCCACCTACACTCCACATCTGGCCAATGCTATAATTCCCCAATCAATCCCCACCCCCTGGAGCTAAATTTAACCCTTTCCGTTCCCTACACCACTCTGGGCCTAGTCATGTATGCCCTGCGCTATTTCCATTCTTCCCTATTCGCTACGAGCATTTCTTTCTGTTGAATTAATAACAAAAAACAATGAACGAAAATGAAAACGTAACTGATTTCATGCCCATGATCTTTCATGCTTCAAGCATTTTATTTTTGTAGGAAGAGACTAGTTACTAAGCACAAAACCCTGCCAAAAAGCACTTTTCATTCACTCTCACTGAAGTTTATAGGGCCAAAAACAGAAAATGCTGCACCAGGTACAAACACCTTTTTCAAAAATCGCACAGCATTGTGTTGCGTTGCGTGAACAGGCACCATTGAGCAGGATCCCCAACCTTTTTGGCACCCATTACAGATTTCGTGGAAAACTATTTTGTCACGGGGATTTTAAGTGATGGTTTCAGGGTGATTCAAGCGCATTACTTTCATTGTACACTTTATTTCTATTAATGTTGCATTGTAATATATAAAGAAATAAATGTACAACTCACCATAATGTAGAATCAGTGGGATCCCTGATCTTGCTTTTCTGCAACTTGACAGTCCCATCTGTAGGTGATAGGGACAGTGTGTTGCTTATGTCAGGTCTACTTCCTAATCCCATTTTGGTTGCTGTCACTGCACTGTCCTGCTTCACACAAAGAAAGGATGTTGGAAATGGCAGTAGGCTTTTCAGTGCTTTTGTGGCAGTCTCAGGATATTCCTACTTGACTTTAATTCAGAATGCATGGAGTTTTGAAGTTGTCTCAAACATACTTTTAAGGCCACTGTCATATGCGATCTCAAGCAGTTGATCCTCTTCTAGCATGGACAAAGTAAATTCAACTGTCTTATTCACAAATGATAATCTGTATTTTCAGCCAATCCCCAGCATTAGCATCACCACCTCAGCTCCACCTCAGATCATCGGACATTAGATTCTCATAAGAAGTGTGCATTCTAGATCCCTTGCAAGCTCCATTTACAGTAGGGTTCAGATACAGATGAAGCTTTAGTCGCTCGCCCACCACTCACCTCCTGCTGTGCGGCCTGGTTTCTATCAAGCCATGGACTAATACTGGTCCAGGCCTGGGGGTTGGGGACCTCTGCTATAGAGAATAATGTAATTTCCAATGTCTTGCATTGCAGTGCAATGGCAGACACTGAAGAAATCGCACTAGTGTAATCAAGGCATTTCTTCTTTTAGATGCTAAATAATGTTATGCATATACAGTATGCAGTATTAAGTAGACATACCTTACATTGTTTATGTAATCCTTTTCCCAGGAACTTGTATCTCTGACTCCAAAAAAAATTGTCTTCGTAATAAAACTTTTTTAAAATCACATGAAGAATCAACATTCTCTTTACAGGGTCCATCATGGAACGGGAGATATTTTACAAGGCAATTGACAAGTTGTTACAGAGTCCTTCTGTAGATTTTGAGAAAAAATTGCTACTTTTTAGAAGAAAAGAGGAATATAAACTACATCAAGGAACGGGACTGCATGGAGCATTTTCATTGTTCCAGAAGCCAACGCTTGGACAGGACATAAGTATGATACTGAGCCTGAAAAACACGACGCCAAGTAGTATCAAAGTGATTGTGAACATGACCGCATCCAGCATTCTGTATACTGGGAAACACAAGCATGAGATCTGGGCCAGCAGACGCAAAGGCTCTTCCTCTGGATCCTAAAGAAGGTATAGATTTGGCCACAAGAGTTTGAAAATCATTATGGTAGGAATTCTCGGGCATAAGAAAGTTTAAAGTTAAACTACAAACATCTAAATGCACAGGAAAAAAATATTGCCTGTGACAGTGGAACAAATTGTTCTCTGTAAAATTAAAAAAAATGAGTGGTTATTAAAAACCACCAAAAGAAAGCTCTCTCTCTTTGTTGGGTGATGTGTTGCATTACAGAGTAATTGTAAGTCAGACTATCACAGAACCGGAAACTGAAAAATTATCTGTCAATAAAGGGGTACGGCCTAGTATTCAGATGTGGTAAATTTCCCCTGGCCCAGCAACATATACATATCTTTACTTCTCTCCCCAGTTACTTAGTTCAGCTAAGTGAGGAAAATACCGGGTCCTAATGCATAGTTGCCAACATTGAAAAAAAGTTTTCAGGGACACTTTTTTTGCTGTGCTCCCAGTTGGCCACTTTAGGTGGAGAATAATTGTTAATTAGGGGCAGGGCATTCATTTAAAATGGGTGTGATTCTAAACAGGCATATCATTAAAGCTGATGTTTAGCTAAAAAAAATTCTCTAGAGCTTTAGTGAGTTTACTTACCAGTAGTGATGGTAATGTCAAGCAGCTGGATACTGGAAAATTCATCTGTGCAGGGATTCCCATCTTCTTCTTGCCTCTGAACTTCCATTGCGAGGGCTATTAGCTTTGAGTCTTCTGTGAAGCTCACCCTCATTTCACAGCCGATCAACTGCTAATGCCCCCCCCACCAGACCACTGTACCCACCCCCAGCATTACTCTGCCACCAGCAGACCTTTCCGCCATCAGCACATCTTTAACTCCAATGCCCCCCAGAACACCTCTGCTTCCAATGACTTCTCTAGAGCACCTCTGCCTGCAATGATTCCTCCAGAGAACCTCTGCCTCCAATGACTCCCCCAGAACACCTCTGTCCCCAATGATTCCTCCAGAACACCTTGCCCACAATGATTCCTCCAGAGCTCTTCTACTTTCAATGACTCCTCCAGAACACCTCTGCCTCCACAGAATTTCTTTGCTTCCAATGACTCCTCTAGACCACCTCTGCCTCCAATGCCTCCACAGATTTTATTTGCTTCCAATGACTCCCCCAGAACACCTCTGCCTCCAATAACTCCCCCAGAACACCTCTGCCTCAAATGACTTCTCCAGAACACCTCTGCCTCCAAGGATTCCTCTAGAACACCTCTGCCTCTGATACATCCCCAGAATACCTTTGCCTCCAATGCATCCCCAGAATACCTTTGCCTCCAATGACTCCTGTAGAACACCTCTTCTTTTAATGACTCCTCCAGAACACCTCTGCCTCCAATGACTCCCCCAGAACACCTCTGCTTCTAATGACTCTTCCAGAACACCTCTGCCTCCAATGACTCTTCCAAAACACCTCTTCCTCCAATGACTCTTCCAAAACACCTCTTCCTCCAATGACTCTTCCATAAACACCTCTTCCTCCAATGACTCTTCCATAACACCTCTGCCTCCAATGAACCCTCAGAACACCTCTGCCTCCAATGGCTCCTCCAGAACACCTCTGCCTGCAATGACTCCTTCAGAACACCTCTGCTTCAAATGCCCCTCCCCAAAGCTCACTTCTTACGCCACTGCCCCCCCCCCCCCCCCCCCCCCAGCAGACCTCTTTTTCAATGCTCCTGCCTCTAATGCCCTCAAAAGACTTACAGAAGACCTCTGCCTCCAAAGACTCTTCCAGAACACCTCTGCCTCCAATGACTCCCCCAGAACATCTGTACCTCCAATGACTCCTCCAGAACACCTCTGCCTCCAATGGCTCCCCCAGAACACCTCTGCCTCCAATGACTCTCCTAGAACACCTCTAGACTCTCCTAGAACACCTCTACCTCCAATGACTCTTCCAGAACACCTCTGCTTCCAATGACTCCTCCAGAACACCTCCGCCTCCAATGACTCTTCCAGAACACCTCTGCCTCCAATGACTCTTCCAGAACACCTCTGCCTCCAATGACTCCCCCAGCACACCTCTGTCTCCAAATTGCACCCCAGCACACTTCTGTCTCCAACCCCTCTTGCCTCCATTTCTAGCCTCCCTCCTGCACATCACTACCTTCTATTCTCTTCCCCCTCAGCCCAGCTCTGTCTCCTATTCTCCCCCCAGCACATTTCTATCACCAATTCCCCCCAGCACACCTCTGCTTACTTTGCCCCCCCCCCCCCATTACGCCTCTGCTTCCATCCCCAGCACACATCTGTCTCCAATTCTCCAATCACACCTTTGTCTCCAATTCCTCCCCCAGCATATTTCTGCCTTCCAACCCCCCTCCCCCAGCACACCTCTGCTTCCACCCCCCACTTCTTCTCCAGCACACCAGCACATTTCTGCTTCCTTTATATTTCCTTCTCCAGTACACCTCTGCATCCACCCCCCAGCTTCCTCCAGCGAACCCCTGCTTCCATGCCCCCCTTCCTCCAGCGCACCCCTGCGTCCATGTTCCCCCCCTTTATCCAGCGCATCCCTGCTTCCATGTTCCCTCTTCCTCCAGGGCACCCCTGTGTCCATGTTCCCCTTTCCTCCAGCACACTCCTGCCTCCATGTTCCCCCCTTCCTCCAGCACACCCCTGCTTCAATGTTCCCCCCTTCCTCCAGCGCACCCCTGTATCCATGTCCTCCCTTTCCTCCAGCTTACCCCTGCGTTCATGTTCCCCCCCCCCTCCTCCAGTGCACCCCGCTGCCATTTTCCCCCTTCCTGCAGCGCACCCCTGCTTCCATGCTCCCCCATTGCTCCAGCACACCCCTGCGTCCATGTTCCCCCTTTCTCCAGCACACCCCTGCATCTATGTCCCCGCATTTCTCCAGCTCACCACTACATCTATGTTACCCCCCTTCCTCCAGCGCACTCCTGCGTCCATGTTCCCCCATTACTTCAGTGCTCCCCTGCGTCCATGTCCCCCCTTTCCTCCAGCACACCCCCTGCGTCCATGTCCCCCCCTTCCTCCAGCGCACCCCTGCGTCCATATTCCCCACTTTCTCCAGCGCACCCCTGAGTCCATGTTCCCCCATTCCTTCAGCACACCCCTGAGTTCATGCCCCCCCTCTTCCTCCAGCGAACACCTGCTTCCATGTCCCCCCTTCCTCAAGCACACCCCTGCTTCCATGTTCCCCCATTCCTCCAGCACACTCATACGTCCATGTTCCCTCTTTCCCTGTATACTGGGCTTACACAGGGCTGTCTTTGCTCACTCCCAACAGCTGAAGCGTGTTTCATTGTTAGCAATTGATGGTAATTGCTTACGTTATCCATGTCAGTGGTTTTATTCTGATTGCACCAGTAGTTCCCTTTTCTTTTATAAATGTGTTACGCTTGAGCTGAATATCAGATCAAGCAAGGAGGGGCCAACAGAATGATTCCATGCATGTTCAGCAGCCCTGTTGGGGGTTAAAAAGTGCTGTTTAACCTCATTTCAAGATAGGAGGTAAAAAAGTGGAGGTGAGCAGATTGGAAACATCACATGGTGGAGTGCACTGTGTTCATTTGGTGCAATATGTACAGTACAAAGAAGATATTGGAGTGATCACAACTTTATCTACTGGTGTTTGGAGTTACAACTAAGAGCTGGACTTTCAATATTTACTGTATTTTGAGACACTTCCCTTGTATTATTAGATGTGTTAAGAGCACCATTTATTTTACATGTATATTTAGGCCTAGTTTACACTGGCATTGAGATCAGGTGTCTGAGGTGTCTGAGGGTAATTTGTTAATGCTCCTCAAACGTCTATGCAAATGATACTATGGGCAGCACACAGTTCACATTATCAAAACATGAAGTGTTAGCGTCGCACTGCTTCAAAATTGAACCCTCATGTCCAGTCAGGAGTTTGACGCCTTCCAAAGCCTCCTATTCAAGTCTATGGTGATGCTCCACAAATGTTCTGTCAGGCGTTTGCGGGGCATTTATGATGTGGTTGCGGAGCGTTAATAACATTACAGTTTATGATAGGCGTTTGTGGTGTGGTTTTAACGCTTGTAAAATGCTTCAGAACTGCACATAGGGCATTTAGGGAGCGTTTTTAATGCTTTTTAAAAAGTCAGTCTAATGCCCACACTAAAGCTCATAAACGCCTGTCTAACGCCTATACTAAAGCTATAGGAGCATTTGGTAAACGTTAGAAATTTAGTCCAGTGTGAACAAGCCCTTAGGGTATCGCTACACTATATTTGTTTTTGGTTTGTACATATTGGGTGGAGTGGAGTCACCAATTTGGTGTTTAGCTGGCAACCCGATTGTTGTGTTAACATACAGTATATTTGAGGACTGCGCAGATTGATTTATTTGTTTTGATTTTGATTCCATTGAAGATGTCTAGAGGTTAGATGCCCGACTTTTGTGCACTGGTTGAAGGTGGTTGTTGGGGACTTTTCACTTTGGTGTATCCATCTTGCCCATAAAATGTATCATATTGAAATACCAGCATTCAGCCTCCATAATGGTATTGACCTTAATAATCCATTCAACGGTGGTCGGCAGATGGGACTTCTTCCAGAGGGCTGGGATAAGGGTTTTGGCAGCATTAAGAAGATGTAGTATTATACCTATCTTATAATAGAGCCCCACTTTTATGGTCATAGGCAGCAGGACCTTAAAGTAAACCTGTCAAACTGGGCACATAACGGATAATTAAGTAAGCAGTGATAGCCACTTATCAAATCAATAGGTAGAGGCAGACACATAGGAAACTGGATTATATATGGATCTTGTGAAACCTTGGTCCTGCCTCCCTCTTCTGTTTGAGCCTTTCTATTGGTCCTTTCATATGTGGCAGATATTTTAAAATAATAATAATAAATACTTCCAAAGTTTTATATATTAGTTATCTCTGAAATTTAAATTTCTAGCTATGTAACACTATCACTATGAAATCTGTGAAACATTGCCATCATTTCCATTT